GAATTAAGAAATCTAGTTAGTATTACCCATGTGTGTGTGATTGTGTACAGTGTGTGTGATACACGGGACCAGGTACAGCCATGGAAAGCCAAGGGTAAACGTTATTACGTTTTTGGATGCACAGTGTGGGTTTGTTGTGAGCGATCGATAATATCTCGAGTATCCTTAGTGGGTGTTTGTCTGAATGACGTAAAAAGAATGAGAACGCGTTCGTAAGGTCTACCCTATGGCTGCCGAAGTCGATCTACATGATGCGATCAGAGTGTGTGGTGTGGGCTGAGTCATAGGGTCACGCACATATACTTGGGGATGTGTTCAACCAATCACGTGCATCACACACTCTGTACACAATCACACACATACACATGGTTGATACTAACTAGATTTCTTAATTCGCTTCATTTGTCTATCCTGTTCGATGTAGTACGTACGCGACCGATGAGAGTAAGCGAAAGGAATTCCTCTCGCAGTGTTTGTCTTCTGAATTGCCTGTTCAAATGTTTCAGTACATTTATACATCTACGCTGATAATCTAACGCTTGACTGGAAATTTTTCTACATTCCCAGTTAATGAAACAGTCTTGTTTTTAGATTGCACCTGAAGTACAGTAATGCCCCTGAAAAGAGAGCTGCAAAAATTNTTCTCGATAAAGGCGAGAAAAACCATTCAGCGGGTGAGTTCTGGCTGACCTCTTTCTGCTTCGCAGTTCAAAGACGTTTGTTCCGTCGACGCTTACGCTTGAAGTCTAGTTTGACAAGCGTGTTTGAATTGTGTGCGGTATTGCGCTGCATAGACCTGGATATGTACAGCACTATGGTTTGGTTGGTACCATTTGTTTTAAATGTTTATGTTAAGTCAATACGCGTTTCAACGGGCAACTTACAGCACTTACATAGTCAAAGCCATGTGGTATAAGCTTTCACACTTGTCAACTTCATTCTATCTTCATAGTGCCATTGTCCGGAAATCGGTTCCCTAATTTCAAGTAGTTTCTTCAACGGGTTTTGCGAAGTTCACCTGCAATTTGGATTTTACGACTAAAATCGCGCGTGTTTTTAAAAGGTTACGGACGGTTCAAACCCAAGTGTGTTTGACGAACAGACTAATTAACTAAATAATTAAACTGTAGTCGGAAAACCTGATAAATCGCCAATTTATGTGCGATAATATGCAACCCATCGGAAACTCCAGTAGAGCCGTTATTGACTCTGCTCATACAGTTCGTACTAGTATCAATAATGGTTTATCCAGAGCTAATTTAGAACGGATTCCTATTCCGCAAAATATTTGCGTCAACATCTATCCCACCGCTGCAAATTTGATGTTTTCAGAACACAGATGTTTCCAATTTGAAACGGCAAATTGATAATATTAATAATAATGACAAAAAGAATTATAACGATAACAAGGTCGTACGCTCACATCAAAAAACATTTTTAGTTCACAGTTCTCCAGCAGAACTAACTTCTGTCTGTCTAGACGTATAAATTAGCTGAAGAAAAATCATATAGTTTAATAAAACAATAAAAAAATATTCGTAATGCATCATCACTATCACAGGTAAATATCCGTTTAACCAAAAACACATCCATCGACTTTCAAGAACGAATTCAAACCGCAACACCGTGCACAGTTTTCTTATACGCCCGTAACCCCGCAACATACAAGAAATCAGAACGCCAACAAGACAACATGCTGATCGGACCCGGGTTGACGATTTAATGCGTCATCGTGAGAATACATCGATCGACGAAAAGGTGGACAAAAACTAGGTCAAGCTGGCTCACGGACAAAACGGCCTGGCACCGCATTGGTCAGTGTCAACCATGAACAAGTGAATCACGTGATTGGACGCACAATGGAAACTGATGGACAAATGCGTACGTAGCACCGATCGAAAGTTTTATTGGTTCCCGTTATAATTGGCACAAAGTACTAAGCGTTTTATTGTGCGTGATCTCTACATCCATGATGAATCTTCGCTGTCAAAACTATTGTACAAGAAATGACCTTGAGGATTCACATTTTGTGTACTGCTTCAGACCACTCTATTTAGATACTAATTTCGTTTTTGAATCTTGTCCCCATCTGCTGTGCTTTTTCCTTAACATCACCTTGAGGCGCTGAATCGCAGTACCAGCTCTTCCCCGGAGCGAGTGGATAACCTAACTGTTCCGGGTTTCGAAGCATATTCTGTTTCTCCACCAAAACCAGCATCACCACCACCGCCACCACCACCAACTCCACAAGCACCAGCACCAACACCGCCGCCCGGAACAAACAAGCCAGAACCGCAGCAGAACTGGGAGTCGTCCTGTACAATCTTGACGCAGGACACGCTGTCCAATGCGACGATCGGGGATAAATCCGACAAAAATGACACATCACTGACATCTAACCCTTTGAGTGAACTCGAGAAATCCTCGTCCTTGGAATCTCAACCTGAAATCGAGGAACAAAAGAACACGCTTGTTCAAAACTCTGCCGGTTCAACCAGTCACGTGATACGAGGCACAGAACACTCTAGCATTGGAGGAAATGAAATGAAATCGGTAAGTAATTCTAAACCGTTTAGCTCACGATATTTACAATAAAGACTGGGTTTTTCTAATCACAGCTGTGTAAGAACAGATACTCTTGAATGAAAAGGTTTTAGCCGACAGGATTTATCACGTGTGAACTACCCAAGTATTGATCGCCAGTAAAGGAGCATCACACTCAAAATGCGTCAACATCTGAGTCAATCCAACCGTTTGACGGTCTTCGTCATGAACCACATTGACAATTAAAGAATGTGCCGGTTTCAACATGATTTCAACATGAGTTTACGCTAATCTCGTCGGTTTTGTGTGATAATTACCTGGTCACCTACAACCGAAAAACGTGGGCGTTTCCAGTCGAGTAAATTGTCTGAGTGCAATTATACAATATTATCGTCTGTCAGTTTGATCTCCGAGAGCTTCACATTTTGATACTCAGATAAGAACGGACTGAATGATTCACATCAAATGAGACCAGCAAGCGGTGCGAGTCGTTTCACAACCCTCTCCTGCTCTTGTTTTTAAAAGTCTCCAATAGTTTTGGCCCGAAAGAAAGTGTGTTCATTGTCTGATTTGAAAAACGCCTTTCATTGTACAGAGAACCAAATTGAGGGCTGGATCTACAACAATGCTTAAGGGAGAGAAAATGCTGTCCGCAATACTTCGGCCGTGTGTCATTGAACAATTCTTGTTTACGAGAATAGAGGAGGTTTTGATTTGTTTTATATGATGATCCGGTGTGAGCTGAAAAGCTCGGAAGCACTGGATAACTGTTTCGACCTGATTGGATCTCATCAGCACAGTGCGCGAATCCATCGACCCAATCAAATGGGGATCGCGAACCCGGGACCTCTGAGGCACTGGGCAGTTAATCAGACCGTTTCTCATTTAGAATTTACACGATATAGCGCAATCCATCTATGTGAGCGTTTTGCGAGTATGAATCCTCGCTCATGGAAGCACTAACCTCCGGGTTTATGACTCGGTTGGTATTGTTACTTGCTGTTTAACGAGGACCCTAAAGACTTAAAAGCCACACACACACATTTGGTTATCCTCGAAACATCTGGTTGAGAGAAATGAGAATACGGATTAAAGAGCGAGTGTGGAATAGAACTGAACAGGGAGGGGAACATTGTAGCAAAACACTTGAATCGGCCTCGGTGCAAGATTGCTCAATGATGAAACTCAAACTAGCCCAGTTTTCTATACTCGAACTAAAGTAGGTATCAAGGAATATCCACAAGCAAATACAAACCTCTGACAATCACTTCGTCAGTCGGTCAGTCAGTCATCCAGTAAGTCAGCTGCAGTCGGTCAGTCAGTTGGTCAGTCTAAGTGTGCAGTGGACGACAGTGTTGCCTGGCGATCACAATGGACCATAAGACGGACGTTCACATTCCTTAAACAGAGCTGAACAGTACCCATGGGTTCATTTACACCCAGAGGCACTCGTCCGATCAGGAAGGGAAACAAATTAGGGAAAAGAGTAGATGATGATTTTGAAAACTAGTCATTGTTATGTACAAAGCGTCTGACGGATAGTTCACAGATAATCACTCTGGAAAACGAAAATCTTGCTATAAGCAAGGGCCCCCGTAGCGATGTAAAAATGAAAGTACTCAGTTTGAAGCGGAACTGTTTGAATCATGTCTAGTACCAAAGTTGCTCCTGTTGTATCCCAGGTAAGATAAATAGATGAGAACACAAGGAATTAAGTAGTATGTTTATTGTAAACGGTAATTATGTAGCCGGTTTATAGACCGGGGTGTAGTCAGAAAAGGCAAGACATCGGAAAGCCGGTCGGCAGGCAGGCAGGCAAGCCAACACAAGCTCAAAAGTCACATAGAATCCGTGTCCTGTCAATCTGGCATTCAGTCAGCCAATCGATCAATCAGTCAATCGATCAGTCGGTCTGGTCACAGGCATATATGGCTAAATTATCAGTCAGTTGTAGGCCAGAACAGCTCCTTTCACGGGATTTAACATTTGGCGAACATTTGTGTGTTCACTTGAATACACAGATATTTCCTTCGACAAGGTTACGCGATCTGTGTAATGCAAGTTGAAGGAGGCATTTCATTGGTTAACATTTCAAACGTGGCACAAAGCATAAATCGATGTTTCCAACAAATTCAACAGAAACAACCCAACCATACCCAAACTGTTGAGTTTGCGTTAACTAATTTTGTCAATTATACAGGTTTTGATCAAAATTGCGCAATATGACTCTCATTTTGGAAATACATCCCAGTTCCCACAATCATACATCGGTCGTCCTGGGTGAATGGTATTTATTCTGAACTTTATTTTCAACTGCATTGTTCTCTCAGTTCTCTTCTATCACCGTTTGAATTTGAGGGTAACCTTGATTGGCTAGATAAAATTTATAGTCTAGTCAAATTTATAAATTCATTCCGTTACCGTCCAAACGTCAGAATTTGAATGTAATCGAAAACTTTTCCCTGTGTAAGAAACGAGAATAACTTATCTACCTTAAAACTGGTTTTCAGTGGCCAGGATGCTTCATATATTAGAGGAAACTTGCGAATACTGTTTGGCAGTCAACTTGTCGGACTCCATAGAAAAGCGACTGGCTCCCGTGGTAAAAAAAGGGCAAATAGAACATTGAGAAAATGAAATTATAATATCTGCATCATGTCTATGAGTACATTTTATAAATAAATTCTAACGATGTCAGTTACTGAGACTACGTTATTTTAGAACTGATCCTCCAGCAACCGCCTTCGAAATCGAGAAATTACATGTTTTATTGGCACTCGACTCACAGAAGCAAAAATGGGAGTGGAAGTATTTACAGTTATGTTTCATCGGATATGGGGCAGTATTACATTCAATCCCGTGAACGAGGTGGGAAACACTAAGCGTAGGAAGAAACAAATGCGATGGAACTCATGGTGTGCAGGCAGAAAGGATCACCCCCTTGTTGTTTTCTTCCTTTTTCGTACTATAACTTTCACCTTTCTAAAGCAGAACGAGAAACCGGAGTTACACGACTCAGCAATCGCGGATGTTCAATCAGTGCTCCCGAGCACTCAATACAGTTATTTCGTCGAATATGATTGGGACATCCGCGATGAGGAATTACCGGTGAGTATGTGAATCCACTGTGCCAATTCTCACGTTTCTCGATTGTTTTGCAAGCTCCCGTTTTGCAGAGAAGTTTTGCGCAGTTCTGTTTATTTTTCTTCTGACCTGGACACTTTAGGTGATTAATGCACTCGACAAGCTCCACAGTCTCAAGTTTTCGTTTTTTATCACTGCTTATATGGATACACACGCATCGAAAAGTAGAGATTAGGCGTCTTCAACTGCTAAAAAGCAATACGTTGTGAAAGTAACATGTTCATAGTTTCGTACCCTGTATCTGTAGCAGTCGAAGTGGGCACATATTACGAATCACGAATCACGAATCGTACTAGTACTTGCACGCTGGCATCTCCCGTAACAAAGATGCAGGATACAGTTCACAGGTCTAGCAGTTCATTTATTGAAAGAAATCAAGGAGATTAAATAACATGTACAAAGGAAGTTTATTGGTTGTCCAGGTATCCACCAATCGTATGCTTGTATTCTTGACATCANTTGACATCATAAAGCTTCTGTCTGAATTGCACGACTTCTGATTGGTCGGCAAGATTTGATTGTCGTTCATTGTCCAGAAACGATGACGTGTAGGCGCTTGGCTGGCGTCAACTGGGAAGGTTGACTCATCACAACTGTCCAGAAACTGTAACGCGTCACTCCATGGCTGGCGTTATCCCGTGGGCTTGGATCACTACAGTATCGCTCCACTCTTTGAATCTCCGAACCTCTTGGTCACTTCATATGAATCTACCACAACGCGATTGGTACTTAGAATATCACGTTTTACCCATTAGACTGATTTCCGTCTTCGGAAAATCAACACGAAGTAGTTATCGAAGTTGCTTTGAGATCATTCGGGTCATCTTTTGAGCCTGAGTGTTCACGTTCTGGCGAGAGTGCTAACCGCCGATTTTCATTCGCATCTGTTTTGCCAAATACTATCTATGGAGCACAGAAAAACTCGGACAGATCATACTGTTCATGCATTCGTATAGGTCAAATCAACATACACGTTTAACTTGTTTAAATTACCTTTTCACAGAAGCAGACGTGTTTCTGGTGATTTTTAAATGATTCAACTTGATTTTTCTCTGGTTGTTCAGGAAAAATATTTCTCAGCATTTCGCGATGTATAGCCATCGGTGTGAAGTTAACAATTTGGTCAAATATGCTTTTCGAAATAAAAAATAACATAAGTGATTTTTTACAAAATACAATCGGAAAAAAATAGAATTTTTTCACTTTGATTTAATCCGCCCATACCCCGTTTTACGACCACATTGACCTCAAAGTACGGGGATTGGTTCATCATTGTTTCAATTCGTAGTCCCTTACCTGAGGTTAATCAGTTTCCGATTTATCCATACCCCATACCCCGGATCCTGCAATCAATCAAGGACATGATGTTCCCGAGGGATAAAATGTTAAACTCAATCTCCCAAAGAAAATCTTCGTTCTTGCTCATTAATTTACCTCAAAAATTCGTTTGATTGTTTACGGATGGAGTAGCTTATTCCGTACGGGGAGAGACGTTGCGACAATCCCAGAGCGTGTGTGTTGACTAACCCATCAATCGCATTGAGGATGTACCAATAGGACACGATTGATGGATGCCCTTTTAGCTACCATAGGTTCACTTGAAGTTGAAAAAAGTACAGTGGTCAAATTTGACAGATGACTAGCACAGCTCACCCACAAAACAACCGTTCGAATGAAACGCATAGCACTTTTTAATTCGGGTACGCACTATCATTTGAGCACCCCAAAAAAAAAACTTATGAAATATTTCCGAAAAACGCATCTTACCCAGCGATGTGCCTCAATCATGCATTCACACCGGCCAATTACCCTCAGTTTTCTTCTGTTATTCGATTGGACCATTGTATGCAGTCTGTGCAACCCTCAATCCTTCAACCTGACACGAGACTCTTGAGATCGACAATTTTCAAATGTTCAGAACGGCTCAATTATCAGCTGTCATCCTATAAAATGTAAATAATAACGGTCGGTAGAGTGTTGCTCGATGTTTGAGCCAGCCGGGGCAATTTTATTTTCTAATTTGTCCAGACAAGTGATGAAAAATTCGACCGATATTTTGTGATGGTCAGACCCGCTTTAGAGATCCACTAAAAAAATGTGCTGAACGAGGAGGACTATAGCAGTTTAATGAGCCTAAAATGTCGATCGAGCCACACACACACACCCACGCACGGGCAGGAGAACCCTTTTCATGGTTGGAAAATAAACAGGCAATAAATTCAGATTAGTTTTAAAAGATTCTTTTTAGTAACTCGGCTAAGTACGATAAAGGCAGTTTTCTCCATTTTATAGATTGGTGGACTGTATAATAGTTTTGCACTGTGCGATGATGCACTCTTGCAATTCCTTAATAGTTTTCGATTTCCGGAAATAAACTTCCCATTTTAGGTATTGTTCTGACCCGTTTTCATTGAAAAATTACGATCCGATTACTTAGCCTTAAAGAACACTTACTCATACTGTGGTATACTAATATTAGGCGGCCTCGGGCTAGCGCTGGATTCTCAACAACCTTGCGAAATGAGCCTACAATCTTACAATTTTCATGGAAATAGCCTCATTCATGGAAACCGTTAGCGTTGCGCCTACTAGTGTCAGATACCATGTGCTAAGTTCCACTGGATATTCTCGACCATTAGGATAACGATTTTTGATTAACTCTATTCGGACCGCGAATAGTCGTTGTCTCTGCGTCGCCTTGGTATCAGATATTATCACATGTTGCGTTCCGGAAGGGGACAGGAGGCATTTTCTGACGGTCATTTGCATGGACTTTACCATAAGCACCACTGCACACTGAAATCACGTGATTTACGCTCTTGGTTTTTGTTTCGTATACCTTCTTGCAAACTACCAACACATTCGAGTTTACCAATTCGCATTCGCGCATCTCTCCCANCTCTCCCAGGGACAAGGATATGCTTCGCTTGTCTGTTGTTGAATTATTGTCAACACTCAGTAAAAGAACACTTGCATTATCGAAAAGCAAGATAAGCGTGATGAGAGTTCAAATCATACCGCAACTTACTCGAATCCTGCTGGCAAGTGACCAGTCGACCTCGCTATCGATCCCACTGTGAAGGCGTACAGTTATGACAACAAGCAATGCAGAACGCCAGTGCCTTAACAGACAATGATCACGTGGGACAATGACAATGATAATGTTGAAGCAGTTTAAAAAATTAAATTCCACGGCAGAGCCGTAAGAACAGAGGTGTACAGATCAAGTTTAAAAGCATACTTTGCACACACAGGTTCAAATATGTACAGTGAATTCCTAGCAGATGCGTGATTCACATTGTTGACTAATCGTTTCAGGTTGACATTGGCGAATGGCACGCGGTATTGTGTCTGATTGGTTGTATATATATATATTTCACACACATCTGAGATTCAGATTGTGTGCCAAACAAATTGCGTAAAAATAATCCTCACAAAAAGGAACACGTTCCACGATTTGCATATGGACCGAGTACTGCCAGATTGCCCCGGGGCCAAGCAGGTGAATTTTCCTTGGGAATCCGCAACCGGAGCCTTCGGCTAACCAAAGTCTCTTTCCGGCAAGGCAGCGGGGAGGTGTGTGAAAACCGCAATCCATTGGGAGCCGGTGTCCAGTTCATCGGATCAGACGCCCTTCGGACGGGGTCAGACGTTCAATGTGTCCAATACACTCAAACGCCCAATCGAACTGGTGACCGTTGCCATAACCGGATAGGTGTGGGC